GCGGGGCAGGGAGCACGGGGATCCCAGAGCTGGTGCTGAGGATGCTGGCTGGCAGCCAGGCACTGGGAAGCCCTGGCACAGCTGTTCTGCCCGCCGCATGGGTCAGGTCGGGGACAGGGATTGGGAGGCTGTAGGTGAGCCAGGGCACCTCATCCCATCCCGGCCTGCCATGCTGTGGGCTCGAAGCCAGAGCCGCCGTCCCTCAGGGCGTGCAGGGCCTGGGCTGGGGAGGGGTGGCAGACCGCTGGAGCTGGCAGTGCTCGGTGGCGCTTGGCAATGGCACCACATGGCAGCCACGGCAGGGCCTGTACAGCACTGTCCACAGGGGGGGGGGGGCCCCCAAAGCACGGGGCCTAGGGTGGTTGCCCTAACTCGCCCCCCCAGGGATGGCCCTGCTCAGAGCTGTGGGCGTGCTGGCGGGCCAGGCAGTCCAAAGGTTCCACCTGCGTCTAATGATTAATGGCTGGAGGCCAGGGACGTCACGAAGAGATGGTCCCCCCCGCCGTGGCATGGCACTGGGGGTCTGGGCCTTGCAAGTGCTGGCCCCGCTCTGGCCACGGGCTGCTCTGTCCGTGGAGGGGAGGGTGAGGTCGGCACGCCCTGTGAGGGGCTGGACTCGCTGCTATGTGTGCAGCTCTTCCTGGGCCCCCACAGGAAGGGAGGCATCCAGCAGGTGCCTGGGGCTGGCTCCATGCAGGTGTTACCGGTTCTGCTTGCCAGGCCGGGTCCTTGGAGCCTTTCCAGCCTGGGCGTGGCTCTGCAGGCCCATTGCTGAGGAGCTGTGAGTAGTGGTTGCAGTGGCCATGTGCAGGCCCCGTTGGACTGGGCAGTACCTGCCAGCCATGCCCTGTGCTGCTGGCTCCTAGTGCCCGGCTGGGGCTGGGGCTGGGCCAGGCCAGGGGTCCCCCGTCGGGGAAGCTGCTCTTCCCTTCCTCCACCAGCCCCACGCCCAAGGGCTGCTGCGTTCCGCCCCCTGAGTCACTGCTGTTCTCCCTCCCATCCAGGGCTGCCCTAATCCCTGGCACGCTGCAGCTGCTGCTGACGCTGCCGTGCTCCCCTCCGCTGGGCTCGGCAGGGAGGGCCTGCCAGAGCCTCTGGCTGCTCCCGGCTATCCTGACCAGCGCCCAGCCCTGTGCAGCTGCCGCGCTGCTCCGTCCCTGCAGACGGGGCAAGGCCCCTGCAGTAAGCAATCTGGAAGGGGCAGGGGCCACAGGCGCACCCGCAGCTGCATGCCCCCCGCAGTGGGAAGGGGAGGACAATGCCAGTTCCGGATACCCAGCCTGGGCGGGGCTGGGGCTCAGGCTCGGGCTCTGCTCCACCCCGTCTCCACCCACACTGTCATGCTGCCCCCTGTTCTGCTTCTGGGTGTCTGGCCCTTCATCTCTGGTCCCCAGTCCCTGGCATGGGCTTTGGCACCACGTGTGCTCTGGCCCTGACTCAGTCCTTTGCCCCCTGCTCTTCTCGGAGGTGCCAGGCCGTGCTTTTCCCTGCAGGCTTGTGTGGGTCGTGCCAGTCCCAGATGCCCCTGCTGGTTCCTGTAGTGGGGCAGAAAGAGACCCTTTGTCCTTTCCAGGTCTCCATCCAGGGGGCTGTGGGGCCAGGCAGAAGCCCCTGGCAAAGCGGGCAGCGCTGTCTCTTGCCTACAAATGGGGAAGCCTCCTTGGCGCAGCAGGAAGTGACTAGGCGAATCTGCAGCAGTCGAACAGAGTCCTGGCTAGCAGGCTCCAACCCACACTGCAACTGCACCCTGCCACAGGGCCCTCCAGGACCCTCCCCACAGCCACGCAAGCGCCCTACTGGAGCATGCAGCCAGCTGTGGCTGGGGTCCTGAGCTGGCCCACAAAGCCCATTGGGGAAGGCAGCAGTGGCGTGGTGTGGTGTGGCGTGGTGTGGCGTGGCGTGAAGCTGAGCACGAGGTAGGGACCTGCATGGCTCGCCTGCTCCGTGGCAGCTGGGGAGGGGCACCGTGGGTGTGCAGTAAATGTGCGATCGGTCTCTGCGCAGCCCCCCCTGCCTTGGGCTGTCGAGTTGCCAGAGCTCTGCGCTTCTCATTTCGGGCGGGAGAACTGGCTCTGCCAGACAGGATCCCCGTGATTGTGGTGCTGGCAGTCTCCCACCTGGGCCTGCATGTGCTGGGGCAGCCCCCCAGGTGGCTGTGCTGGGCTGGAGGCCACAGTGTGCGCGCTGGCCTGGGAGCCCAGGAGGTAGGGTGCTGGAAGCTCCCAGCAGAGACTGGGTTGGGATGTCCCCAAACCCAGGGCCTCAGTCTGCTGCTACGGGCAGAACTTGGTGTGACCCCATGGAGGGGCATGGTACTCTGCGCTGGCTCCTGAGTGCAGCCCACCCTCTGCTTCCGTGGGCTGGGTGCCACTGGCTCGGCCCGAGAGGCCCTGGCAGCAACCTGGCTTCTTGCTTTGGCCGGGGACCTTGCCCCGAGCCATGGCTGTCTGCCGTGGGCAGAATTGCTGTCGTCTGTGCCTCCTCCCTCCCTCATCAGCCCCAGCCCAGCAGGCTGCTGTCATGGGTGCAGGCATTGGTGCTGACACGGGGCAGCTATTCTTGCATGGTACCAGGTGCCTGGGCCCTCCCTGCCCTGGGGCACGAGGCATCATCCCCACATGCCTCTGTCTCTTGTGTGCACACCCTGTCCCCTCGCTGTTCCTTGGGGTCCATCACCAGGATGTCTGGGCTGAGGCTTCCTGGCTGAGGCTTGGCTTCGGCCAAACTTCTTCATGCTTCAGGCGGTTTGCTCATGCAGCTCTTAGCTGCCCCCGCCTGCTTGTATGCTCTTCCCTTCCTCCCTCCACCCCCAACCCACTGAGTTTTGAGGGCAGGTCCATCTTGGCTGTGTGGGAATGCTCACCAGTGAACCTTGCTTGAGCTGCGAGTGGCAGTGCCGAGCAGCAGTTGTCCTGAGACCGCGGGGGTGTAGGAGGAGTAGGGTGCGCTGGCACTGCAGGCAGCCCCTCTGCCCCATAGCACCAGACCTTCTCCTGTCAGGAAGCCCTTAGCACTTGCTCTGCTCCCCAGCGAGGGCTGTCTGCATGGTGCCTCATTGCATCGGTGACCACGGGGCTGGGGTGCCTGGCAGCAGGTGCATCCAGAGGTGACGGGCACGGCGAGGATCTGATCTGCAGCCCATGTGCTGTGTCCGGGTGCTCACGAGGATGCTGCCTGGTGCTGGGCTGCTGCTCTCCTGGGGCCTGGCTCCTGTCTACACCTTTTCCTGGGGCATGAAAGCATTGCTCTGCCCGTTGCTGAGGGAAGGAAATGTTGCAAGCCTGCAGATCATCTTGTGGGGCTTCTCCAGCTCGTGCGCCACAGGCCTCCGTGTCCAGACATGCCTGGTCTGACCCGCTTCAGGGGCCAGGGGCCCGCTGGTGGCCCCTTTGAGCCCCCTCCTCAGGGGCAGAGCAGGGTCTTGGTGTTAAAGGGCCATTCTGGGAACCAAGGAAGGTGCGGGTGAAGCTGGACTCTTCTGCTCCAGAGAACAAGTGCAAGCAAATCTTTAGCTCAGGTCTAGCAATAATGGAGCCCTTGATGGGCAGTGCCAGAATGGTGTTCTGGAAATGCCTCTGCTCTGTGGCAGTTTGTGTAACCTCAGGTTTGCAGGAGCCCTCTTTCCCCTCGCTGTTGGCTCGGCCGCAGACGGGCACTGGCCAGGAAACAATGTCGAGGCAGAAGAGCACCGTTTCCCAGCTGGACCTGGGTTTTACTGTCCTGTTACCTGGCCAGGACCCCGCAGAGCTGTTGCATGAGGGAGTGGCCCCAGAGCTCATGTCCCGCCTAAGTGAGATGAGCTTGCCTCCGTTATAGCGTGTCCTGTCCTGAGCCAGGTCTGACAGGACTTGGACCACACTACAACCCCAAGCAGCCTTTAGCCCACCTCCATCTCTTGCACCTTTTTAAACCCCCTGCCTGTGCCGCTCTTGCCTTGGCGGCTGCTGCTGCTTCTCTTGCCCAAGCTTTGATGGAGGGAATGTGAGTGAAGGCTGTGCCGAGGAGGCCTCCCTCTGAGGCAGGACAATTGGGGCCTCCCTGTGTGAGGAGCGCCCGGCTGGGCTGGGCGGCTGGAGCTGGGGCTGAGGAGGGGACCCCTGGGTCGGCACCACCAGGAGGGAGCGTGTGCTGCTGGGCGGCTGTGGCGGTGAGCTACCCCTTGCTGCGGCGACTTGCTGCTGCCCTGGAGCGCTGGGCATGGGGGTGCTGTCGCCGCCTCCTTCTGCCGGGCTGGCAGGTACTGGAGGAAGCGCGGGGCTTGGTCCGCAGCCGGGGTCTGGCAGCAGCGGGGCCCGAGTGAGAGCACGGCTGGGACTGAGACCCTGCCCTGGAGCAGGGGCTGGGCATGGGCCAGAGCCCCTGTCGACCTCTCCCCACCCACTGCCTGTAGGGACCCTTGTGGGCTGTTGCACGGGCCCCTCCAGGCTACGGCCATTGCTGGGGGTGGAGGGGGCAGATGGCCTGTGCAGCCCCCTACCTCGAGCCCTGCAGCGAGCTGGCTTCCCTGATCCAGTGCTGTGCAGGCGTGTCCAGCAGCCGCTCCCCTGGCAGTGGGCTGAGGCCTGTCCCTGGGGCCTGTGGGTGGTGGACTTGGGGGCTGGCCTCTTGGGCCCACGCAGTCCCTGTCTGGCTGTGCTGTCCCTGCAGGTGCCAGGCCCTGTCCTGCATGCCGACAGGCTGGCTCGCTCCCAGCTGGGGCCTTGCCTGCATTCCCCCTTGGCCCTGCCTGTGCCAGGCACCTGCTGGCTTCCTGGCTCTGGTCCCGGGCATGAGGGAAGGGGAGCAAGTGCCGGGTCTCCTGGGCAGAGCCCAGGGCTGCCGGCCAGAAGCTGAGTGCCATTTCCTCTCCAGGCGCACCCCCTGCTCTCCCCCCGCCAGCTGTGGTGCCAGGGGGGCTAGTGGCTGTCCACGGGTCGGAGTTCGTGTGGGCCTCAAGGCGGGGGCTGCGCCCCCTGCCCTTGATGAAAGAGCTGCCTGGCAAGAGCCCCTGCCCCAGGCACAGCCCTTGGGCCCAGGCACCGTGGGGCTGGGGCTGGGGCTGGGGCTGGCACTGGCTTCGCCCATGAAGGTGATGGAGGCAGCAGGTGGGTGTGGGGGCCAAGGTCAAGTGCAGCCCTTGGCAGGGGGCACAGGAGCTGGGCTGGGCATGGCATCATGCGAGTGCTGGGCCGGGGGTGGCTGACTCGGGCAGTGCCTGGGGCCGTGGCTTAGAGGAACCTGCTGCCACCTCTTCCCTGAACAGTGTGGGCACAGCTGCTCTGTCTTCTCCCCACGTGAGCGTGGACCTGGCAGGGCCCTTCCGCCCAGCCGGGGTGGAGCCGCCATGGGGGCGGCGGGGGCCGTGGTGTGCTTCCGGGACCTGGTCCCAGCAGCGCTGTGGGGCGGACAAGCCGACCCCTGCAGCGCCCTCAGCCCTGCTCTCCCACCTGTCTTCCCCTCCCCGAGGGAAAGGACAGACCAGTTCTCCCACCGCTGCCGCTGCCGGAGAAAGCTGTTGGAACCGCTCGGGGCTGTAAGATAACACGGGCGGAGGCGGAGGCGGCGGGTGCGGCTCTGGCTTGGGTTTGTCCTGGGCGCGGTGCCCTGGAGTGGGGGCGCAGCCCACGGTGGGGTGGGGCTGGCAGGCCCTGTCACGAGTGGGTCTGCCCTGGCCTGGTCGTGTATCTGGTGCCCTCACCTTCCAGCAAGCGCCTGTCCTGGGGGTGCTGTGGCTGGGCTGAGGCCTGCTCCCTGGCTGCACCCTGCCCTATGCAGCCCTGACTGCAGGGGCGTCTTGATCTGCCCCCATCCTGTAGGGCTGGGGGGTCCCTGCACCCAAGCTTCACCAGTATTTGGGGCGGGGGGAGCTGCACTGAAATCCAGAGAGCAGGGCTGTGAGCTGGCTGGCTCTGCCCTCACCCCCATCTCCTCCTCCTTTTGGGGGCCTGCTGGCAAGGGGCAGCGGGCAGGAGCTCAAACCAATGCAGATCTGGGCTGGGGCCTTCAGGTCTGAGGAGGTGGGTTGGTGGGGAGAAGCCCCCACCTGCTGGGAGCTTGAGGGGGGCCTGAGGCTGTGTGGCACCGGCAGCCGCCATGAGCAGCACAAAGCTATAGTCGGTCGTGGGTGGGACGCTGCTGCTGCCGTGGGTGCTGAGGGGGTCTGACCCTCGTGTTCTCTCTGCAGCTTTGCCGCCTGCCGCCATGGAGGGCCTTGTGATGGCCTACCACAACTTAATGAAGAAAGCAGGTGAGGGCTGCCCCTGCCAGGTGCATGCCCATGTCCCTCTGGGAGCTGCCTCCCCTTAGGCCCAGTCCCATCACGGCTGCAGAACCCCTGGGCGTGTGGGCTGCCCCACACAACAGTTGACCTCCACCCATGCCTGGGCAGGCCCCTAGCTCCTTCATGCTGCGTGGCATGTCTGCATTGTGCCTGGGGAATGTGCACGGAGCTGGGCCAGGCCCTGCTGTGGACTAGGGCCAGCCCCAGGTGGTGTGGGGGCTCCCGTGGGGATCTCCCGCACTCCTCCGGGACCCAGGTGTCGCCTGACACTGCCCTGTGCAGAGCTCGGGGCGCGGGGGCTGGGCAAAGAACGCAGCCTGGCCTCACTGCCCCACCACCCCACAGACCCTCGGATTGCCGAGTACCCGCTGATGGACTCGCCCTTCCTCATGATGGGGATCCTGCTGGGCTACGTGTACTTCGTGCTGTCTCTGGGCCCGCGCATGATGGCCAACAGGAAGCCCCTGGACCTCAAGAAGTTCATGGTGGTGTACAACTTCTTCCTGGTGGGACTCTCGTTCTACATCGTCTACGAGGTGAGGCCGCAGCTCCGCTGGCACTGCTGCTGGTGCCCAGCCTGGGCTGACCTGGTGGTGCGGGCTGGCTGGGCCCTGACCGTTGCCCTCATTGCAGTTCTTAATGGCGGGTTGGCTGACCGGCTACACCTGGAGCTGTGACCCCGTGGACACCTCCCAGAGCCCTCAGGCCCTTCGGGTGAGTCCTCTATGCCTGCGCCCCTGCCACTGCCCCCACCACTGAGCCCTGCAGCTCTGCTGTCTCCCCTGCACAGGAGCCGGGGGCTCTGGTGGTGCTGAAAGCTGCTGGGGCCGTGCTGGGGGGTCCCTGTGGTTCTGCCGGGAGGGTTCTGACCCCAGCCCCCTGCGCAGGGTATTGGGCGGCGGGGGGGAAGGACTGTCCTCGTGGAGGTTTGTGGGGGCTGCCTGGGCCAAGGCTCCTGACATGGGCTGTGCCCTGCTGCAGATGGTGCGTGTCGCCTGGCTCTTCGTCTTCTCCAAGTTCATCGAGCTCACGGACACGGTGAGTGTCAATGGCAGAGGGCCTCGAGCTCGCCCCCTGGCACAGTAGTGAGGGGAGAACGCATCCTCTCATGGAGGAGGGGTCTGCACCTGCTGCTGCGCGGGGCCAGTGGTGAGCTAGGCACTCCCTGGCAGTGGGGTTAGGCTCAGCTCCTGGTGTCATGCTGACCTTGGGGGGCCCCTCCTCGCGGCTGCTTTTTTGAGCAGGGAGGGGCAGGACTGGGGGCACCCGCATCCTGCCCCACCTGCAGCAGTGCCCCTGGCTCTGCCCTATCGGCTCCTCCGTTCTGCTCTGCTCGCAGGTGATCTTTGTGGTGCGGAAGAAGAGTGAGCAGGTCACCTTCCTGCATGTCTTCCACCACTCGGTCCTGCCCTGGAGCTGGTGGTGGGGCGCACGCTTTGGTCCAGGTAAGGCCCCGAGCAGGACGGACAATGCTCTTCCCCTGTGGGCTCTGTGGCTCCCCCACTAATGTACCCTCTTGGCCTGGCAGGTGGTATGGGCTCCTTCCATGCCATGGTGAACTCCATGGTGCATGTTGTTATGTACTTCTACTACGGGCTCTCAGCCGCCGGCCCTGCCTTCCAGAAGTACCTGTGGTGGAAGAAGCATATCACGGCCATTCAGCTGGTGAGTGCGTGGCTCCAACCCAGGGCACCAGGGCTGGGATGCTGTGGGCACTGGCTGCAGCACAGGGCTTGGGGCTGTGCCCATCTGAGCTGCTGCCAGTGGTGGCCCTGGGTGGTGCCCTGGAAGCTGGCGTGGGGGCACTGTCTGCAGCTGTGAGTGACCCGCCCCCGTGCTCTACCCACAGCTGCAGTTCGTGATCGTCTCCATCCACATCTCGCAGTACTACTTCATGCCTAGCTGCAACTACCAGTTCCCTATCTTCATCCACCTCATTTGGATCTATGGGACCATCTTCTTCATCCTCTTCTCCAACTTCTGGTACCAGTCGTACACCAAGGGCAAGCGGCTGCCCAAGAGGGCTGAGCTGGCTCCCTTGCAGAATGGTGCTACTAGCAGCCTCCATGCCAATGGCAAGGTCAAGGCCAACTAGAGGGCATGGTCCTCCCAGAGCCCATGAGTGCCCCGGGGCGGAGGCGGCTGGGACCTGTCCCTTGCTCCTGGGCATCATTCGCCAAACCAAGTGCCTATAGACTGTCCCCCACGGCCCTGGGCCTGGGCCTGCCTGCACTCCTGTCTGCCCCCTGCTCGGCATCGCCCCAGGCCATGGCCCTCACTGGGAACAGATGGGCCATGGTCTCTTCCCCACGGGGTTCCTGCCCCGCTCATCTCCGAAGAAACCTCCCCAAGTGCCTGTGACTGCCCCTTGCATTGGGGCCCCTCCCTTCTGTCTAGGACCAAACCCGGGCCCAGCCCTGCGTCTCCCCAGGCCCTTGCAGTCGCCCATGCTGCCCCCTGCTCACCGCTGCGGCCTGTGGGCATGAGGAATGGGGCTGGCGGCTGCCCCTTTTTCCCTGCCCTGCCCTGCTCTACTCCACCGTGGTGCTCTGGATGGCAGCTGCCTATGGTACCTTTCCCCTGAGCTCAGGCCATGCCTGCCCCGTGCAGGGCACGCTGCAGAGGTGCACACTCCCTGCCTGCCCTCTTCCCCTGTCCCAGGCTGTGTTCTGCTGCGGGGACTTCCACTGCTGTGCTGGCCCTGGTGCCCTGCTGGGATGCGGCCCTGGGTCCTACTCTAGCTCAGAGCAGAGCAGCTGTGCTCCTGCCTCGACTCTCACACAGCTGGAGCTGGAGCAATAATCCCCAGCAGTGGCTCTGGGCAGGCACTAGCCTGTGGCTGTGCCCACACGGGGAAGAGCACGGCTGGCTCCCTCTCCAGCCTGGCCCCGGCTCCCTGGTGCTGCCCATCTCCTCTGTGCCTTGTCCAGCTGGTGCCTGGGGGAAGTGTCTGGGGCCCAGTGCTCGTCCCCAGCTCCTTGTAGCCAAAGGCTGGGGGAGGGGGTGCGGCTGCGGCTGCGCTGCTCTTGTATCATCAGAAATAAACAGACCAAGTGGCTCCACCCGTGGTCCTTCCTGCCCTTGCTGGCCAAGGCCTGGTCCGGGAGTCCCAGCCTCTCCCTTGTCCTGTGTCTGCCCTTGCTGGGCCAGGCCTAAGTGCTGGGGGGAGGGGGAGGGAGCCCTGCTCGGAGCCAGCAGCTGGGCAGGGCTGGAGCCACTCCTGTTCCTCGGCTGGGGGCCAGGGCTGCAGGGCCTGAGTCAGTGCAGGGGAGGGCAGTGCAAACAGCCCCCAGCCTGGCCCTCCTCTCTTCTAGCACCTGACTGGGAGGGAGCAGGGGGCTGTGCTGCCTGCCTGCTTTGCTCCACTCCAGGCTGCAGCCAGCCCAGGCCAGGGCCCGCCTGCTGCCACCCTGCACTGTGGAGGCAGGAGCTGCAGCCCTGACAACAGCCTCACACCTGCCTGCCCAGGGGCACACACCCCAGTGTCCCCAGCTGCTGTTGGCTGTGCTTCTGGGGAGGCTTTTCCATGCAGCAGGGCCCAGGTGCAGCAGCAGTGTCCTATGGCTCAGACCCATGTCCCTCTCCCAGGGCAGCAGGAGCAAACGAGCTGGAGAGAGCACAGAACCAGCTTTTGCTAGTAATTTGTCACCCTTGTTGGTGTTTGCACTGCTGGGGCATGAGGTGATGGTCCTGGTTCTGGTTAAGAGTCGTTGATAGATCTGTCCTTCACAACCGGGTCCAGTCCCTTTTGACCCCCAGCTGTGCTCTCCGCCTCCCCTGCCTCCCGTGGCCACAGAGTGCCACTCGTTCACTGGCATCTCCTGGTAGGTTTAAATCTGTCTCCTGCTCACTGCAGCTGGTGCCCCCTGGGTCAATTGTTCAGGCACTTGGTGACCAGCAGGTCCCTATTTGCTCTGCTCACAGCCTGCAGGATATTAGACCCCTCTCTGATCCCACTCTGTCTTCTGGCCACACAGAGGATGGCCAGCCCTTGTGTCCTCCTGATTATCCCAGTTGCTCTTCTCTGCCCCTTCTCTAATTCTCAGTCCCTTTGAAGCTGTGGGAGCATAATTGCAGCTGGGCCCAAGCCGCAGGTGCCCTGTGTGTCTGCATCATGGCGGGAGGCTGTTCCCCAACTTTCAGTTCCTGCAGTGATGCAGGTGGCTTTTCCTGCATGCTGCTCCGAGCTGAGAATCAGCTGCAGGGACTGCGCTCTCCTGAGTGGCAGTGGCACGGTGGGCAGAGGCCTGAGCTTACTAGTCCCTGATGAAAGGCTTGAATAAAGCAGGGGATCTGGGACCCAACCACTACTGACAGCTGCCCTCTGGGAGCATGACCTTGGAGCCTGCCCCCTGCTCCAGGCAGGCAGGGCCCAAACCAAGCCCCCACTGCAGGAGCTTGTCTAATCTGGGGTCACCGGGATCCAGCCCATGGGGCACCCCCAGTCTGCGGTGCTGCCCTGGCTCGGAGGTGATGCATGCGGCCGAGCCAGGCCAGCCTTGTGCTCAGAGCCGGAGATGTCACGTGGTGCCTGTCCTGGCTGGTGTGGGAAGCTGGTGGGGGGTGAAACGGCTCCTCCCCCCTGCCCCAGTGCCACACACCCAGAGGCTTGTGACACCCTTGAGCCCACCAAAGCGCAAGTCACCAGCAGCAGCTACTCTGCACAGCTCAGGGCCAAGTGCCCCGGCCCCACCACCCCCGGGCTGTGCTATGCAGACCAGAGGAGGTAGCATGGTCCGTGCCTGTGCCCTTCCTGACCCAGGCTGAAGCCCAACAGGAGCATCGGTGCTACGCAGGCCCCATTGCAGCCAGCACCCAGTGCCTTCCTCAGGGAAGCAGTGAAGGCAGCGATTGGGGGCTGCAAAGGAGAGCGCAGACATGACCACTCCTCCCCCTCCCGTGTTAATGATTAATCTTTAGTTAGTTATTCATTCAGGGGGGTACTCCTTACCAGCTGCTGCTCATTACCCTGCTGCAATCCCCTCCTCACCATGCAGTGTGACATGCAGCAGTGCCAAGTGGCGCAGCCCTGCTCCTGCCCTCAGGCAGATGACCCACGTCAGTCCCTGGGCCTGTGCCTAGGCCTTGCTGCTTGGCTGGCACCTGCAGCCGCCTGCACACCTTGTAGGGAAGCAGCTCCTGGGCTCCCAGTGGTGGCTGCTGCTGGCCCCTCCAAGCTGCACCCATGCTGCTGTGTGGCGCGGGGGCCACTGGGCCCTGCAGCTGGCTGCTCACTGCAGCTCCTGCGCTGCTCCGCCCTGGCTGTGTCCTTGAGCCTGTCCCAGGCCCTGCAGTATCCATGCTGTGCCGCCCACTGCCCCTGCTATCGCAAGCGGTGACTCACCGCTGCCTGGGACAGCCTGGCTCGGCCCAGCCCAGCCCAACGCTGGCACCTGGTCCCGTGTCTTCCGGCCTGGGCAGCACTGTCCCCCTCCAGCAAGGGACTGAGGCAACCCCACGGTCCTGCTGCTGCTCTGCAGCCCGACACCCCCCAGGCAGTGCCCACCCACCGTACGCTACGTGCACTGCTGCCCAGGGCTGCTGGGGCAGCTCAGAGTCCTGGCAAGGCCTTGGCTTCAACTGAATGCATGTGCCCAGGCAGGTATTGCAGCTGCTATGCTTCACTGCCTCCCCCTCCCTGCTCTTTGCTGCCCTGCTGCATGCACTGGGGCAGCAGACGTGTGGGCAGGACAGGGACTTGCTGCTGCAGGGCTGCGAGGAGCTGGCCCACTGCCAGAGCCCTGCTGCCGCAGGCTGGGCTCGTGCTATGGCCCCTGGCTGGCCCAGTGGGGCCCACCTTGAGCCTCAGTAGGTGGCGGGCAGCAGTGGCTGTGGGGCCTGGCATCCAGCCTTGCGCAGAGTCCAGGACTGGAGCAGCCAAGAGAAAAGCACCATGGCGCCATGTGCACAACATCAATCCTGCCTGGGGCCCTACCCCAGCAGAGCCAAGCAGCAGCCCCCTGCAGCCCTCACCCCACAGGGGTGGGAGCCCACTGCAGCAGGGCACTTGCTAGCTGCTGCCCCCGACTCAGGTGCAGTGGAAGAACTGCACAAGAATGGCAAGAGACCAATGTGGCTGCACACAGAGCTCTGAGGATGCCTCGAGTGCAAAAGGAAAGCACCAGGCCGTGGCAGAATGGGCAGGGCACCAGGGACACACACCAGGAAATAGTGAGAACCTGCAGGACAGTCAGGAAGGCAAAGCTAAGGAACGAGCTGTTCCATGCGAGGAATGATAAAGACAAGAGGAGCGTCTAGCCTGAATGCAAGTCAGCCAGAAAAGAAGGATGAGGAAGCTGTGGTTCCTCTGTTAACAGCAGCTACTTTGCCTCAATCGTCACAAAAACATCAAGCTGCAGCCAGCCCTCTAACAAGGATTTGGGTGAGGAAGGGGACAAGGTGAGAGGCACAGTCGGGGCTCTTGGTGGTTCTGAAACAGTTCAAGTCAGGGCCTGAAGGAACTGGCGGAGATCTTGGGGCCCTTGGCAGTGATGTACAGGAAGTCACGGGAGATGGACCTTTTCCTGTCCTCTGGTACCTGGCCCATGTTGCAGCCCTCTTTAAAATGGAGAAGGAGCTGGGGCCCTATAGGCCAGTTAGCCTCACCTCAGTACCTAGGGGTCACTGGAGAAGATCCTAAGGAAGGCCATTCACAAGAACCTGGAGGACAAAGGGCTGATCACAAG